CGGATGACAGCGAGGTTGTCTGTCAGCAGAGTTGTATGGAGGTGGTGGGACTCGAACCCTGGGGTTCAAACCACGCCGATGATGAAGACTGAAACCGCTCGACCGCCATCATCTATCTACTTACGAGCTAACTTCTGATTTTTCGGCCGGATGTGATTTTCATTATAAATATTTTAGCGTTGTCATTACTGACTGAAGTAGCGATGTTTTTTATACGTTTTCTCTGCAACTATTCTGAAAATCAAATTCCGAGCGGGATTGAACGCGTTTGTTCTCCCGTCGATTTTACGTTTCAGAAAGAGTGTAAACTCGGCCGTTTGGGCTCTCGTGTCTTTCCGGATGTGCTCTTCAAACTGGATCAATACCTCGAGGGTGTCGACCCACATCATGAGAGTTTGTTCTGTGCCCTGAAGGTGGCTGAAGTAGTTGGCCGTCGTGTAAGATTGCGTTTTGTCGGATATCCCGAAAAATACGACTTTTGGACAACAGTTGACTCGCCATTTTTGTTTCCAGTTGGATGGTGCGCCCACAATCGTCGTCAGCTCCAGCCACCCAAATCCCATATTGAAAAAGACCAGCGTGAATTTGATTGGGATTCCTTTTTATCCAAAGGAAAGTACTCAGCAGTTCCACCTTCTGCGTTCAAATCTCTGTGGGATGCGGTACGTGCACAATCGACACCTGTCTCAAGCATTTCTCCGCGATTTTGTCCAATTTTACACTTTTTATTTTGTTATTGTGGTGGAATCCCACAACTAGTTTCGTCTACAGTCTTTGTCTGAGAGTAATTGGGGATCTGGGGACGAGAAAGGCTGCCGTTCATACCGGAGTAGTGTCAAATCAGATTTTTATGCAGAATTTTTATATTGGTTCGATACACCTCTGAGTTTCGAAGTTGTGATCAACAGATGAAGAAATAATCCACATGGTCGCTTGAACCGACCGTTCACTCATAATAATCGATTACTGCAGCCCTTCGGCTTGGAGTAGCGAATTACGTTTGCCCCACAAGGATAGGAATCGGACGACTGCAAAGCTGCTTATCACCAAAACTGGAGCTGGAATCTTGGGATTTTAAAACCAAGTTTCTACAGCTCGCTCAATGGATATCTGTCCTCAGACAGCGCATTACCCACAACCGGAAGACTATTGATAAATTTTCTCAGGGAATATTTGGAGAGATGCATCCCGTGGCATTCTGGCTGATGAACAAGGTCTTACGAGGAGCTGATTGAGACAAGTCGAAATTGAAATCAGTAGGGATATATTTCTTTTATCAAATGTATATATTTTTTTATACACGTTTGACGCCAGACTGTGCCATGAAACGTTTTATCAGTTCTGCTGCTAATCGACTAATTCTGAGTCGAGTTTTGTTCGTATATCATTTGGCGTCGAGAGAAATGTGCACCATAATCGTATAACAAAATCAGTGAAGCGGATCTCAGTGTGCACTGCCCACAAATTAGGCACAAATGTTCAAGATCGTTGCCGAGTGGATCTGTTTTGGGATGAAATTGAGCAAGGCAACTTCTATGATTAACAGTCTAACTATTTCGGCCTGATAACAAATGACATCAAGATCGTGCTCATTACTTGTCTAAAATTTGACCTTCCTCTTTCATTTTCGCCCAGCGTAGATTGCATTTTACCATCTTTTTCTTGAGTGTCTTATCTACTATCATTCCTTCAATCATATGACATCTTTCAGTTCACATAGAACCAACACATCTAATTGATACATGAATTGTTGACCTTTACGAAACTCAACGGATGTTTGTGCCTTGGTTCAAGTTTATGTTTACTACGCATTTCAACTTGATCGACACGTGATGTAATTCATGTGTATTTTAACGGATATGAATCAAATCAGTTTTCAGTTTTTCCTACCGTGTACTTTCGTGCGGCGGTTTTTGTTGCCCATTTGGATGGAGGAAGATTGGAAAGTTGAAAGCAGTATCGAAGAGGGAATTCCAGAAGACCACGGTTTCAAAGAAATTGAAATGTGATGTGTGATTGCCTCGTTCCAGCGCTGTGCATGAGGTGCTTTCGAATTGTACTTCACTGTTCATAGAACCGATCCAACTACCACTGTGTCCGATTCATGATGCATGTCGTCGTCTTTTGGTCTGCGTCTGATTTGTTCTTTCCTCTATCCATCGTGTGATGCCGCTTATATACATTTCTCTTGAGCATTTCTCTCATCTGTCTAATCACTATGCAGAGAGATCTATCTATGCGCAATACTCCATGATTTTCTCTTGTCCTTTGTACAGTCTTCAGATAACTCCCCGACTCATGAGTTCCGTGTCGGATACAAATTGGAAGCTGTAGACAAACGCAACCCGGCCGCAGTTTGTGTAGCCACTATCAACGATCGTATCGGCGATTATGTGCTGGTGCATTTTGACGGTTGGGATTGCGGGTTCGATCAATGGGCGCATATCTCTTCTCCACTGCTTCACCCCGTCGGTTATTGTGAAGAACATGAGTTGATCCTGTCTATCCCCGTCGGTTAGTTGGAGCATTTCTTGTGTTCGTTCTATTTTTGACTTGTTTTTAGCACATCCGTTCGCTGTGTGCATCAAGCGCTGACGTGTTTGAACAAAGGCCTATAAATGCATCTACCCTTTCTGTTTGAGTTAAGATTCCAGTTCAGCCCATTGTTCGCGTTTTCGTTCCTGTCTGTACTGACTGCTTTAGAGTTGATTCGGTATCCATTTGAATGGTCCGGGATGGGTTCCCAGCCTTATGCTTTCAAATATTTTGTATATCTTTTCATCTTTCATCTTCCATCTTTACTTGTTCCTCTCATTGGATTGCATTTTTGACCTCATGCACATCTCATTTATTGGTATTAGTATCTGAGGCTAATCGGTCTTCAATACTGCTCACAATGGCGAAGGTTTTTGAGCTCCATTTGTTTCTTCTATCTCTATCAGATTGGACCACAAAACCTTGCGGTTTCACTTGGGACCAATATCTAAAGGAGACCAATTCCAAAGCTGTTCCCACTGAAGCTTTTACCAAGGTGAGACATTAAATTAGTCATTCATTGCTAAAATTTATTAATGCACCTCTTTTCACAAAATATCATCATTCCCGATATTGTCTTCATTTTCAGGCCTCCTCTTGCAGTCCGGGTTCAAGCTCCGGTCCGCAAGTTGGGCAGCGCTTGGAAGCTGTTGATCGTCGTTGCCCGCAACTGATTCGAGTGGCTAACATAGTCTCAGTTGGTCCTCCGGGCTTCCTCACCATTGGTTACGATGGGTGGCAAGATAAATTTAACGTGTGCTTGGAAACCAACTGTGCAGATCTTTTTCCTGTTGGTTACTGTCAAGCAACAGATCACCCTCTCCAACCACCTCCAGGATGTAAGTTCACCCTGTTAAATTTTCTTATCATGGTTTAATTTTTGCCATTCAGACGTTCCCTAAACATTTGCCAAATCCGTTCATTATGAACTGTTTCCACTTGAAATGCGAATGCTGATCGGTACTGTCAACGGTCAGCGCACCGTTTGGAGTGGTTACGTACAATGAATATAGGCTCCATTCTGTGGCTCATGTTCGCTTCTGTGTTCCGTTTACCTCTTACTGACTTACGCGTTTACAATATGGGAATATCGGTGTCATCTTGATTTCTTTCGTGGTTCTCCATGTACACTTTGGGTGCAAATAACCGTGCTTGCTATGCCAAAACCGTGCCATCAATTTCAATTACTCAGTGTAAATGTTCAGATTTTATGTTTGATAATTAGATGTAGCCAACTTATATGTTCCAAGCACTGATCTTCTGAATCGCATTCATTTTTTAACTTCCTACAGACGTTACGGATCACATTTCACACGTGTTGGAGTCCGGATCTTGTGCTAAACAAATACCAGTATAGCAATCTTTCTAAGAAAGAGCTCAGTTCAGGGTTTGCTCGTAGGCCTAATACCGTCGGGTGGCCTTTTGCTGCGCAAAGCTTGACCCGCGAGACAACATCTTGTATGTCTCACATTGGATTACGTTCTTTGGCCTCATGCGCATCTTATTCATTGGTGGTAGGGCTTGCCGGATCGGATGTATAAAACCACAATCCATCCGCAGTTCATTTGATCATAAGCTCCTCAAGCGCGATTCCCATGTCAAGTATACTCTGTCGCCAACTCGAGGCAGTGACCATCACGAGCAGGATATCCTGGGCCAAGTTGCACCATTTCAGGACGGGTTTTGATACCAGTTTTTCTAGTCACCCCAGGTGGGTTAATTTCCTGTGGCTCATTACTCGGTTTTGAGTTATTGTTTTCTCAATGGCTGAACTCCTCACAACGAGAAGTTAGTGGGCCGGGCTTCATTAACAGAGGTAGAGGCCTTGAAAAGCGCACTCCGTCGGAGCATTTTGTGTCCCTTCAATGCCACCTCGTTCACTTTCAGTTGAATTTTGAGAATGGCATTAAAGAATGCCCCTAGTCTCTATTCTTACAAGTGCTATGTGGGGTATTGTTTTTTTGTTTTCACTACTCGTACAACTAGGCAATCGCTTTTTAAAGCCAGAAGTTTTCATGCATTTCCCTCAGGAAGGTACCAAATGACAACATGTATTCGACAAGCTGTATGTCGTTGTTACAAACCTTTTTTTTTTACTGTTGTGATCATACTTTTATGATACTTCACGGCACATTTGGGTTTCCTGATTTTTCCTTCCTATTGCACATTGGCCGGTGGTGTGAGCAGTTGATAATGAAGTACATGGTAAAACGTTTATTTGTTTATTCAAGAGTATGTTGAAAAACTGATAACATCCAGCACCATTGAGCTTCATGATCAGGCTTTTTCAGTGAAGCAGCAGCACCACAATTCACTAATTCGAACTGCAAACCATGAGAATATGAATCATGGCTCAGCGTTCACTGACTCTTTTTGTTGTTGATCGCAAGTGCTGTCTATGTTTCCCTATTTTTTTTTTACGAAATCTGATTACAGAAAATTTATTTGGGTGGTTGGACAAATAAATATCGCGTATAATGATATCGGATTGCGAAGGCAACTAGCATTTGCAAAATATTGTGTTTGTTCACAAACAACAGATCCTGAATGGTCTGAGGTGTGGGTTTGACTCCCTGAGAGTTGGGTGATTCACAACCAGTTGGATGCACTTGTTTGCATTCGCATCTCAATTATGACCAGGAGCACTAGCCAGATGTTTCGTCCTTTTGGTGATTCGTTTTCCAGAACTCAAACCGAGGAATGTAGATTGGGCTCAACAAGCGCGATATTCTAAATTGATTGAGCTCTTCCCTCCAAGTTTTAACGATCGATCATGTTGTTCAGGATTAGGGCTTTTCGAATCCCAACCCAGTCGTTTGCGGTTCGAATTTCTGCAGAGCAATAAAATTTACGCCTTACGGACTGGTTCCAACAGGAGCGAAACTACAGTTCAGTGATCCTTCTCGGTGGTCGTAGTGTTGTCTGTTGCAACCAGATGAAAATAAAATTTGTTTAGCAACTATGGGACGAGCTAATTCAACCCAGATGTGTGCGCAAATTGACGTTCCGCTGACGGATTTGTGTTTGATTTGCTTTTTCCACTTGTGTTGTACATGGCCCACCTTATGTGGTTTGACATTTCTAGTCTTGAGACTGTAGGTCCTCGCTCGAGTTCAAATTTGATGAGCGCGTTTGATTTTGCCCTTTATCTATTAAGGTTAGGTTTGTAGTAGTACGAAGAGGCCTAAGTTGCATCACTGGCAGGGCCTTTGAATTCGGCCGCGCCCTGTTACCGTCGAATATTAATTCGTAAAGGCACAGTGGATATTCGTCCGTTCATCAATCAATTCGTATAATTTTCAAGGTTAAATGCTATCCTATAGTGCCACGTTTTTGAAATCATAGATAAGCGCGCAGAAACATTAGTTTCAGGCTTTTGCCCATTCTGTGAGGAATCGCCTCAAACGATTGCAAAAATGTGTTTAAGGACACCATGATAAACGTGCTCTCTGGCGCATCGCACGTAGGCGGCGTCCCGTTGATAAGTTGACTGTTCCGTCTGTTACCTCTAACATTCGTTCGCTCATGGGAAAATTCGTTGATGGTGCTCCAAAAGGTGTATCAGATTGTAGGGGTAATTCTACTCCAGGAAAGTTGACTACATTCTGACATTGAGGACAGCGTCGTTCATCTTGATAGATTTGACATCTTCCGAGGCGATCGGACTGTGGACTTCCCTCAGAAATGGCGGACTGGTTACTTTCGTCAGCAGAAAATGGTGCAAAAGCGTTCATCAATTTTTTTCACTTCAGTACCCCTAAGATAAATTATAGTTTTGTTTATTGTAAGCTCCAATTTCTCGATTGTTTTCATCTATTACACTAGCTCACATTTACATTACTCCCGACAAACGTGCCTCTGATATTCGATTTTTGTTGACTCTTTTTCCTCGTAACTTGCAACAGGTTTAGATAAGTTTCTATGCATTGCAACTGATAATTTCAATCGTTTTCATGTTTTTTTCTGACATCTTGTAAATTTTTCTACCTGTCTCAATGACCAGCTTGATGGGATATGTGTAAACAACCCAGAAATCTGTTGAGAAGCGGGCTCCCATAGGTTGCTCAGACCCTTGCTCTATTTTTTACATACCAAACTTTACGTAAATATTTTTATCACCAATTGAACCGTTTTACCTCAAGAGAATCATCAGAAGGAGTAGTTGCACCCCGGACAACTTATTCACACTTGGAAATATGATATCTTCCATCGATTTCACCGTCTTCTTCATTGCTTTTCCATTTGTGACCATCTTACGTGTTATCTTAATTTTTGCTGTGATCTGTTTTGCCCATTTGAGACTATATATTCTGATTGACAGGTTCTTTTTGCCTCTTCTGAAATGGCTTCCTCGTGATAAAGAAGAAAATCTTACAGGTCTGGAAGGCGCAGTACTGTTAAACATTTATCATTATCAATCAAAATGGGAATATCGCACCTAGATCGGATGTATATTGAAGCTCTTATGGGTAACATAAAGTGCCGTAATATGTAGTCGACCTTAAAGCACCTCTGTGTATCACGCAACAGCTCTTCCTCTGATGTTGAGAAGTTAACCCGTCAATTCGCAGACGCTACTATATGGAACTCAACGCCACCTTTATTCACATCTACTAGGGAGAACCAATCTGTCATCTGTGGAAGTTTTGAATGTGCTGAAGTCCCTTAAATCTAACAAGGCACATGGCCCGGATTCATTGTCCTGCTGAATGACTGTACTGAGCAACTTGCTTCACCTAATTCTGACCTGTTCAATTTGTTTATGTCATCTGAAAACATCCCTGATTGTTGGAGAGCTGTTCGGATAACATCAATCCCCCCAAATAGTGACCGTTTGCACTTCAGCATTACTGAAAGTTTTTGAGAGAGTCCTTATCCGGATGACCTATTATCTGTTACCCATCACCCACCCTATTCAGTTTGCTTACAAACCATCGCTTTCCACTCTAGATGCTGTTGCTCACGTTGTTCACTTCGTTTCATTGTTATTAGATAAAGGGTCTGGAATCGTCCGTTTAATTTTTCTTGATTAAGCCACTGCTTTCGGATAGCTGTATTTTCATTCAACTTCTTTTGGCTTGCGGTCTGGTACCTGATGTGGTGAATGTACCAATTAATTACTTCTCCCATAACACGTAATTCACTTTTTGCAGCGGTAAATCTTCCTCCCTGCTATAAGTTAATTCTAGGGTTTTTCAGGGTTCTATTTTGTCCATTTCTTTTTTCACTGTTACGACCTTCCCATGCCTCCAATCTTTATCGCTTGCAAGTATGCTGATGACGTAGTGGATGTCCCTCGATTGATCCTGAATGGTTGTCTAAATCAAATTTTTAGTTAGTCTGTGCTCCAATCTTTGATGTTCCATGTCGATATATGTTTGAATGTTCCTTTTAGCCTTAAAACAGGCACTCATTATCAAACCCTTTTGAGTAACCAGCGTGAACTTGCTGTCAATGGTAATATCATTCCCAAAGTTGTGAAATATCTTGGAGTTACTTTGTCACTTTGGTCCAAACATGTTGAAAACATTTACATTAGGGTTCGTAGACTATCCTTCTACGCTTTTAGGCTTAAAATGCTCGCATCCCCCCAAATTAATTTCTAAATTTGTGACCGCATGCATTCTTCCACACTGTACTGTTCTCCCGTATTTTTTCCTGGTTTAAAGGAGAACGACTTAATTCTCTTTCCCGTTGCAGTGACACCTCAAAGACCGTTTTGGTTAATTTTATTGTGAACAAGCTTTTTGATTAACGCACGAAAGTGCTCGGTGTTCCCCTAAATGGAATTATTTATTTTATGACCGCCTGCATTCTTCCACACTGGTCGTAGTGTTCC